CAAGTAGCGGAAAGTTGCCATTTTTCGATCGTGCAATCAGCGTTGGCAGACCCAGATATTTATCCTGGAACCCTACAGCACCAACCCCCAAAATGGTGGCCAAAAATTCTTGGTCAGGCAGGGCAATATTCTTGCTAAAGCAGACTGCCCACTTCTCCAGATTCACACGTTGGCCGCTAAGTTCCTCATACTCATTCAACACTTCAATCAGGTTTTCACACTCCTGTAAGTTTCCTCTCAGCAATAAATAAGAATCATCTGCAAAGAATAAATGGGAGATCCTTGGGGCACGCGGAGCCACCTTAACCCCAGCCAGTCGCTTCTCCGATACAGCCTTACGAAGGAGCGCCGCGAACCCCTCAAGACAGAGCACAAATAAGAGAGGGGACAGCGGATCTCCCTGCCGTAGACCCCGAGAAGGACTGAAATAACCTGAGGGAGTACCATTCATTAGAACCGAGAAAGATGCAGATCTGAGACACTCATGTATCCACCCTTGCCAGACGGAGCTAAAGCCCATCTTATCCAACACCGCAAGAAGGAACGGCCATTCGACTCTATCATAGGCCTTTTTCATGTCAACCTTCAGAGCCATGTACCCTTCCCCCGTGTTTTAATTTTGAGATAATGCATTAGCTCATGTCCGAGGAGGATACTATCAATTATCTGCCGCTCACGAATGAAAGCATTCTGACCATCTGAGATGATATGTGGTAAGAGGAGAGAGAGTCGCTCAGCCAGGATCTTGGTTATAATCTTATAAACAAATTGGCATAAGCTAATCGGGCGCAACTGCCTCACATATTCCACATTCTCCACCTTGGGGATCAACGTTGGCCAAGTATGGTTAAAACTTCTGAGCATCCTACTCGTCGCGAAAAACGAGCATACCGCCTCAACTACCGAGTCATCGACAATATCCCAGAATGCCTTAAAAAACTTGCCCGTGAAGTCATCATGCCCAGGAGCCTGTTTCGATCCCATACTAAAGACTGTTCTCCGCACTTCACTCGGCAAGACTTCTGCCGTCAGGTTAGCATTCATCTCCGGAGTGACGCTACGAGAGATGTGTAAAGCCGCCACCCTCTCCGCCACATCTGGGATATTATTCTCTGAGGTAAATAAACTCTGGTAGAACTCCGTGGCAATAGAAGCCTTTCCTTTTTCCTCCGTTACCCACTCTCCTCCTGCATTATGCAAACCGGACACAAAATTCCTTTTACGATGAGTTCGCGTCACCGTTTGAAAGTAAGAGGAATTCTTATCGCCTTTATGCAGCCATCGGACCCTGGACTTTTGTTGCCAATAGATTTCTTCAGCCTCCAATTGGTGAGATAGCTCAGTCTCAAGGGTACGAATTGAATCCCAGTCGATTGGGTGGATTGATTTGAGATAATCAATCTCCCCTTGAAGAGTTTTGATATTACGAAGGGAATTCGTAGTCCCTACCCTACTCCAATCATAGAGAAGATGTCGCAGATTCTTCAGGTGCTCCCACAGTCAAAACATAGGGGTACCTTGAATATTCTCTTGCCACACATAGGCGACCATAGCTCTAGCCTCCGGATTATCAGCCCAATGAGCGTCAAAGTGGAATAGTGGTATGGAATTACGAGCATATGGCTTGTCAGAGAGGAGAAGGACACGATGATCAGAACCCTGGTCCGTGAAGTGTTTAACCAGGGTCTCAGGGAAGTTATCAATCCATGACTGGGAGCACAGCGCCCTATCCAGTCTCTCACGAATGCACGCAACCCCATTCGTTTGTTCGTCCAAGTAAATTGGTCACCCTGATAGCCTGGATCATGGAGGCCCAACTCATGGACAAACTCCCGCAGGCTAAGAGATTGAGAGGCACTCCAAGCATTCCCACCATCTTTTTCACCCTCGTGAAGGGTAGCATTGAAATCACCGATGACAACATAGGGAAGCATGATCTCATTACAAATCTCTTGCAGGTGGACCAATTGGTCAGCTCTAGTGGCCAAATCACAACTAATGTAAATCGAAACCACAACATAAGAAAAATCAACTTCATTAATCTGAGTGCAAATACAAAAGTTGGAATGGAAAAACACCGAGGCATCAACCTCGGGGGACAAAGCTACAACTAACCCTCCCGATGCATCAATAGCATCAACAAAGAAACAATGAGAATTCTGAAAACCTAAACCGCGCATACGACGTGCCACTACTTTCCGGCTCAATCGTGTTTCCGAAAAAAACACAAGATCCGGTTTATTAGAATGCGTTAAACCCACAGCTGTTTGAAATGTGAGGGATGGTCCAATTCCTCTCACATTCCAGGCAAGAAGCCTCATTTAACTGGTTGGGGCCAGTCCAGGCTGGCTTCCTCCACCTTTTGCATACCATGTTTGTCCTCCACAAACTTTCTTTTTGGGGTCGGATTTTCTTCTATCACCCCATCCATCTCGTCAAATTGACGTTTCTTAGCATCCATATCCGGGTGGCAGATTGGTCCCATACTCATAAAGGGGGATGCTTTGATCAGTGTCCATCCTCGATGGCTGCCTAGACACACCTTCCTGCTTCTTATTCTCCCCATTATCGGGCACCTCCTCTTCTCCCACTGCCAATCCCTGCTCAAAGGCTCGGACCACCTGACTAACTTTAGTGGAGTGGGCAAGACGTCGCATTTTCCCCGTGATCACAGGGGAGCGACGCTTGAGTTCATAGGGTGGAGCTTGACTCTCCGAGATTGTTTCCTCCGAGTCTGTAGGGTCAGAGTGGCCGTTTATGGGCTCCAACTTCTGTGTCTCAGCCCTGTCATGCGAATCCAGATCCACTTCCCTAGCTGCTGCTGGCCCCACCTCTCTGGACGAGAAGTACTCCTTGGCACCACCTTTTGATAAATTTGCTGGCTTGCCAGGCCGAAGAAGCATTTTACCCTTTGCAGGCTTCGTTGGGGGTTTACTCTTCCGTGTAGTGGGCTCAGGCCCACATTGTAAAGTGGGAGCGTGGGGAGGTAGCTCATCATTCTCTGGCCCGTTTCCCATCTGGCCACTAGCCTGTTGGCAGGCCGCCGCCTTCAACAGCCTAGGGCGGCCACAATCCAGCTTCCTCGGCAGCCGCTGTGCGCCCTTCTGCCAACTCAGAGAAACATCCTGGATGAGAAACTCATCTTCATACTCATCTTTCAGTATGAGTCGCCACAGGCGAATTGCCTCACGGACCTCTGCATGGGACTCGTGATCGGGAGCTGGCTCCTTAACCTGGCAGTGGGCCGTCACTGCGTGAGCATTCTTTGCTTCAACGGGAACAACCCCTTTAGCCGGCCACGAAGACTTGTTGGTGGCCCTTTGTCGATGTAGCACCTGAGTCGGGTTGTGCTTCCCATCAACCTTCATCGGGCTACCCATGGACATAACTCTCCCTTTGCCGCGACGCCCATGCTTTCCTAAGGATATTTTGGGCACTTTCGGGACCGGGAAGCGCCGAGGACTCCTTCCCGGATTGATATTGCGGTTCTCAGTAGTAATGAATGGGTTATCCAAGGATCCCATCCACTTTGGGCTTTCTTCCACAACTGGGAATTTTGCTACATTAGGCTCTTTCCACATCACAGGTTCCCTCCGCCGATCAGCTCTATCCTCCGCACCAACATTACGACGAATATGATATTCATCCATACCTAGTTTGGTTGACCACGTGGGCATTGGTCATTCTCCGTCTCCTCAAAGATCTTCCTTCACATTTTTTTGGTCATCATATGCGGGCCAAATCGCTCTTTCCGTGTAGGAGGATCGAAGCTACATGCCTGCCGAAAATGATCCCATCTCGTCAATAGTGGTCATGACTTGGGAGCGAAGTGGTTTGGAGAAATCAATAAGCACCTTGACCTTAATGAAATTGCTGGCTGAGTCATTGCATATAAAAACACCAGACTCAAGGACTCGCCCAAGGGTTGAATTCGCTATTTTTCTCCCAAATTGTTGGGTTCAGCAGTCTTCCTGGACATCCCACAATTGGACTCGAAATGGAGCAATCGCCAAGTCATCGAAGGTCCGGGCAGAGATATTTGGTACCCATGCACGGAGGTGGAGGATTCTATCCTTAATCACCCACGGAGTGCGTTGGAGTGCCCAGTTCTTCGCAGCTTCAGTAGGGAGAGTGAATTCGTACAACTCATGCGCTACCTCTCGCACTTTAATTCGGCCTTGGCCTTTCCACGGGTTATTAACCGCCTCTCGCAGCTCCGCTACTGTCACCCGATCCTCAGAAAAGACAAGGTCGAGCAGCATTCTTGCTCTGCGAACTCTGTCAGGTTGAACTTCAGCCATAGAAAATTCCATAACCTGATCACTTGTGATGTGCGCCATGATGATCGACTGAAACAAAGAATAATCACTAGTGTCACAATCATTCGCAATGCAGAGAGGTTTACTTACAGCAAGCTAAGGGTAATTGGAGAAAAGGAAATAAAAGTCCATGATGGGGCAGCCATCATTCCATACACCAAACACTATTTCCACCGCTAAGACATCCCACTTACCCTAATAGAACTCCTTCTTGGGATTATGAGCACACCTGCTGGTTTGCCTATCTTCCTTTCCACAGAAACGATGGTAGGGAGAAGCACTTAAGGGGCCTGTTAAATAGGCCACGTCGGTATTAGCTCTCCACTTCAGCGAGGAGTCTATTTGGGGTGGGAAACTAGCACTTTTAAAATTAAATAACTGCCCGGGAGATATTTCCCCCCGCCGACAGATACACCGTACCAGAAAATCTCTAGTTCCAATCTCCACCCCCGAAAAAATAGCAGCACCGAACGGGTTTCGTTGGACAGCTGGAGTTCTCCTTGGTGAACTATTCCGGTGAGGGGTTGGCCGGCAAAACGGAAGAGACCATAGTCTTTCCACCGGACGGGATTGATCATACAAAATCGGCATCTGCGTCCCTCCACACGTCATAGACGAACTCGCCCCACACCGGGGTCTGAGTTCAGAACTCGCCCCACCGTGGGGTCTAAGTTCACAGGAGGGAATAATAATCAGGGGATCCATTAAACTTACAGGTTCCTTCTTCGATCGTTGAGTCGGCGACTCATTAGGGGCCTTCTTCCCCTTTTCTTCTATAACCTCCGACGCGGGCAAGACGAAACGCCACATCACGCGATTAGGACGACAAAGTTGTTTGGCCACCGATTCTTCTTGAGCTTGAGGATGTGCCATCCAGTATTCCCGGTGCCGTTTGAGGGGGTTAACCAGGAACGTGCTCTTTTTGAGGGATATACTAGGAGTCTCCTCAACGTGCGATCTCCTCCACCTTGCAGTCGCCGGACGTTCACCCTTCGCCCTTTCCACCTCGTTCCTTTGAGACTTAGCTCCCCGGATTTCTTGAGACCCTTGATTAGCAAGGGCAGACAGGAGGACCTGGGAAAAGAAAGAGAGACAAGTATCACCGGCCGATTGGCAAAGCTCTGATAGAGCTAGGAAGACCGCCGTACAGAATTGAAGGAGAGAGGAGAGAGCTCCCCTCATTTTTTTTTGCTGTTACATCATTGAAGTTGTTTCTCGTATTATTCGTTTGGTTTATGATATTACTGTTAAGCCGAAACTTAACTGTGAGTGGAGTTGGACGTTTTGTTTTTACTTTCTGCCATCTTTAGATTTCCATCATTCATGGCCAAACATATAGTGTGCAAATTAAAGTACAGCTAGACAACATATTACTTTCTTTTTTTAACAAGCAAAATCACCAAACACAATAGATTTCAGATTTCAAAACCCATAGCATAATTTACCAAAATCATAAGCAATAGCAGTGATTTATAGGTCTAGTAAAAGTACCCACAGTGGCGATGGTGATTAAAAGCTAGCCTTCTAACTACTTTGTTTTTTTAATTTGATAACACAACAAAAATCAAAACATTCACACCCGTATTTCCTAAAAACTAAGATCTTGAACCTAATTTTAAACCATCATAATCTCTACCCAGCAACGATGATGCATACATAGAGAAAACTTTCCGTTCCTAATTCAGTAGATTGCAAGCAGTGGCGGCGACCAATCATTAATGAGCAAGCTGTTTTTTTTTAAATTACACGTTTCTCGTAAGAGATTAATTTGCATACCAAAAGCAGAAAACACACATAAACAACCATTTTTTAAAAGTTCAGATATACCAATTTCATTTTTCGAGTAAACAATTTCTAGTTATATTAATTCAAAGTTTAGAAATTACCCAGATCTTCATCCTCCATAACCTGCCAAAAAGATCGAAATTAGAACCCAACAATGATAAATTAATCTAAGAAAATAAATAAACAAAACTCAACCGATCTTTCTTCCCAGTCACCAAACGTGCCCGCCGAAGGTGAGCTTTCCCTCTCTTCGTCGGCGGCCCTTCTCTTCTCCTCCTAGTCCGAAAGCAAAAGACACAAGAAAGAAAAAAACAAAAAATATCAGAACCCCATTTTCGAATTAGGAACCCCCAAAATAAGCATGCATGAGAAGCTTACCATAGGGTAGGATCGTCCAACCGTCGCCGCCATCGTAGCCACGGCAAATAGATCGAAGCAAGGGGAAGACAGATCGAGAAGCCCTCTTCGGCCTAGGTTGATTTTTCCATAAATAAAACATAAAAATGGAGGTAAGACCCTAAAATCATATTTGAAAATAGTAGAAATCGCAAAATAAAAAACGAACCTTCCAAAACTCGATTTTTATCATCACCGGCGGCGCGTGTCGCCCTCATCGTCATCCTCGTAGCTTGGACGGGGCGAAAAGGGTCGAGGGGAAACGAAAAAAATTAAGGCAAGAAGAGTTGATTCCGTTCTTGAGTGAGGTAGATAGTGGATTGAGCAGGGAAGAAAGGTTTCGTTTTATCGATTTTTGGTCGTTTGTGTATTGTTTCAGAGAGGAAGAAAGGATATTTCTGGGATCTCTTTTTGTTTCTCCATATTCTAGGAGAATAGGGTAGCGAAAAACGAGAGAGAGAGAGAGAGAGAGAGGCGAGAGTGATGATAGTGAGAGGGCGGCACTTAGTGTGGCTAGGCCGCTAGGGTTTGTTTTTGGTTTCTCTGGAGAAGACGAGACAAGTGAGAGAGAGAGAGAGAGAGAGAGAGAGAGAGAGAGAATCGAGAACGAGAGAAGGAGGATGATAACACCAAAGGCGGCGTTGGATCAGAGTCACGTAACCCAAACCCAAAAGAATTGAGCTTCTTGATTCACGGTGAACAAACAGGGAAACTAAACAAGCTTGGGAAGCTTGTTTCGTGATGAATCAGGATGAAAACGAGAGGAAATCCTCACACCTGGGAGGATGCATAGTCGTTATAAGCTTACCTTCAAGTGATCGAGTGGGGTTGCTCGACCAATAGGCCAAAGTTCAGCAAGTTTTGATCGCAACCAAAACCAAAACAACTCACAACTCAAAACGTTGAGAATTTGGGGTTTTCTTCACAAATCAATTATGAACGATACAAAACGAGTATGAGGCCTTTTATAGGCTTACACAATTACAAACAAAGTAGAAAAAGGATTGAAACTAACCTAACTACGCAAGGAAACTGAATTACAAACATAATCCGAATAGAGTGAAGAATCCTTGTGGGATTCGGATTACTGGCAGTGCGAGGTAGCTTCTTTGAAGCCCTCGAAAATGGTCTTCCTAGATGAATCGATATCATCCAATGCCTTGTCGTTTTATAAGGAAACTTCCTCTTTCTCCTCCAACTTGAATCAGCTCGAGATCATCTCCCAAACTCTAGTTATGGGTCTCCAAAGTTAGCATCCTGAAACAGCTTCCTGCCGTAGCAAAATCTGGGCAGTTTCCAGGATTCTTCATAGCATCTTGTGAGACTTGAAAAACACCCTTCCTGGCATCTCCTCGAGCTCCATGACATATCAATCGAAATATAAAGACTTGAACTTCACATTGAGCCCTTAAACTTACATTTTCATTGAATGGTTTGGGAGATACGAGCTCCCAAAGTAGGTACCTTGACTCACTCAGACTGTCACTCTAGAAAATGGCCAAGTGTAACCACTTCCTAAAGCGTAGTATAGCGGGTTTGGGTTTTATTGTCAACCCGGGTCCTAGATGTGATGACTACTCGGTGAATTCTCGTTATCTAGCAGTGAACTTTTAGTGCAGATTCAAGCAAACAAAAACACAAAGCAAGTTAAACGGTTGTTGTCAAGTCAAGAGAGGTCACCCGGATATGGTTCCCCCTAGACTGCAGTTAAGTCGGATTGCAATTTACCAAGTTCAGTTTTCATGAAAGTTATACTGCGGAAGGTTCTTAAATAGTCTGAAGTCTCGACTAAAGGTCTCCAGACCCTCTCAATCTGAGTCTCTAGCGGGCGACTAACCTCCACCGGAGTAAACAGATTGAGGCCCTAGCGAACCAAACCTCCACTACCGAATTGAATTCGGTACAGAATAGCGAATTGGCTCCTCGACTAAAGTCACCAATTCGCCACCTTCGATTAAGGATACTCTATCAACCTAGGCAGATATTCTCATTCTAGGTCAAAGCAGAAACAACAGGAATTTGATTAGGATTCAAGTCATTCAATCATTCAAACCTCAATTGAATATAATCAATTCACAAACTCTGTACTTGGGTTCATACAATCAGACCTAGCATACAAATCTAGGGTTCCCCATACCCAGATGAATGGGGAAACTACTCCATAGAGAAAGAAGCAAAAGCAGATTCAGACGCGGAAATCATACTGTGAAGACGGATTTCTGCTCCTGGACGTTTAATCAGCACTTCTCCAAGATCAAGCCGGGCTCCAATGGTGATGAAGATCAAGCTATGGCACTTGGGAACTCTGGTTCGTCGCTTTCTCTCTCTAGGAATCGCTTTCTCTCTCAAAAACTCGGAACCCTTGAAAGATGGCCTTCCTTTCCCTTAAATCAGCTGCCAGATCGCGATACCCGGTCGAAATACCCGGTCGGGTATTTTGGGTCTCGACCGGGTATAATTGAAGCGCACCGTTTCGGCCTCAGGGAAAATCCCCGGTCTCTTTCAATAATCCCCGACCGGGGATTTAAGCCTCCTGCTCGGGCCCCCTTCTGTTCCTCACGGACGCCCAAAGTGGGAAATACCCGACCATGGCCAGAAAATACACGGTCGGGTATTCCTGCCTTTGGCCGGGTATTTTGGCTCTCCAGCACACTCCAAGCCTTACTTGCTCCTTTCGACCCAAATCTCGTTCCTTTGCCTCGATTCCACCGCCAAGTCCTGAAATATGACACAAACGTACAACCTCGCGTGAAATCGGCTTAAAACATAAGAATCCACATCTCAAACGGCTCCAGAAAAGGGGTGAAAACATGTGTAATTATCGGTCTATCATACCTCAAACCTGACCCAACACTTAACCCATTTCCTTTCTTCTTCTTCCAAACTCCACTTCCTTCTTCCTCAAGCAACTCCATCTTCATGATTGATCCATTTGTGATCATATCAGGCCCCCTGTAGAAAAAGCTTTGCCCTCAAAGCTTGATCTTTCTTCCTTTCAAAATTTGCACAGAATTGATCCCAAATAGGATCGAAAGTGGGCTGTTCAAACACATTCTTCGGCAGAAAATTTGCAGCTGTGAATTCGGCTTCAAGCTGATCCAGCACTTTCGAAGCTTGCAAGGCTGTTGAGAACCTCTCCTGGGCTGGTAAAAAACCTATCTCGTCGACCAATTTCGCCGGAAAATGATCCGAGTAGCAGGTCCGTCGTCGGAGTTCTCCTTTGCTCATGAATGCAGCCAAATAAATTGGGGAGTTTGAATTGGAGCATTCCCAATCCAATTCATTGATTCCAAGCTCTTTGCCATGTTTCCAATTGAAGGTTTGGACCTGCCCCCAGTCTCGAATCATCACCATTGTCGACAAACCTTCAGGTTCATCTTTCCCGCCACCAGCCGTTTTCAAATTTTCGAAACCCAGAATCCTCAATCGAAAATTGGGGCTTTTTGATTCAAGCATCCTTGGACTGAATTGCGTGTTCCGAGAGCTTCCCAGAGTGCCTCCAAACGATTTTACTTCAGCCACTTGGTTCGAATCATGCCCGAACTCCCTAACCAATAAGCTCGAATTTTGTTCATCTTCGGTCGTTTTCAGAGGGGTTGAAGCTCGAATTCGATCCACCGATTTGGGTTGATTCGACTCTTCCTGAGTTATGGGAGAGCTTCGTGGAACTTTATGGAACGTTTCAGCACCATTGGATTGGATCGACGAATTCCCCAGGCTTCCACCCAATTGACCCTCTCTCCTCCCCTGTATTGCCGTCGGCGAGCAACAGAGTGGGGAAGCTGATCGGCTTTGGAACCTCATAGGGCGCAGCAAGGCGGTTAATGCATGACGTCGATCGAGGAGACTGCTTCCCCTTCGCGACCCGCCTTCTTCTTTAGCTCGATTAGCGGCCAGCTGACGTTGGTCTTCTCTGACTTCCGCTGGTGACAACGGAGTGAGCTTGAGCTTCTTCCCTCCATGTTCAAAAGTGTAGCAATTGGTGCGTCCATGGTGAGTTACTCCACATCAAATTGCCATGGTCGGCCCAGCAGGATGTGCGCAACGTGCATTGGCGCGACATCACAGAGAATTTGGTCACGGTATTGATCAATTTCGAATTCGACCCAAGCCTGTTTCGTCACTTTTACAGCGCCATCATCGTTGAGCCAATGAAGGCTGTAGGGTTCAGGGTGCTTGCTTGTATGCAATCCAAGTTTTCTTACTGTGTCCAGGCTGATGGCATTTGTACAACTTCCTCCGTCAATTACCATTGACGCCGTTCTTCCTTGGATGGTGCAGCGAGTGTGGAAAAGTTTGTCACGTTGTTGGGTTTCGGTGACAGCTTCAATAGTAAGGGCTCTCCTGTTGACGAGAAAAGGCTCTCCTGGAGGTTCCATCTCGAGGTTCTCATCCACCTCCTCGTCTAAGTCCTTATCAGCTGTTGCCTTCTCCACTTCGTCATCCTCAGAGTAGTATTCACCATCGCGGAGGACGAGTGCTTTTGGATTTGGGCATTGGAAGGACTTGTTCCCTCTTCCATGGCACTTATAACACTCCAATTTGCTTAGTCCTCCACCTGGCCGCTCCTGTTGTCCAATTTGGACGACTGATTTTGACGTTGCTGGCCGATTCGAAGCAGGGGCTTCAGTTTGTAGATTTTCAGAAGCCAATTGCTGTCGAGGTGCTGCCGGAGAAACGCGACGGCCATTACCCAGTTTCAGCTGCTTCTCCACTTTGATGGCGAGATGAAGTACATCTTCCAATTCCACAAAAGGTTGCAATTCCACTTCATTTCGAATTTCTCGACTCAGCCCATGGAGGAATCGGGCAATCGTGGCCTCTCTGTCTTCCCTGACGTCAGCTCGCATAAGAAGCAACTCGAGCTCCCGATAATACTCCTCAACACTCCTTGTTCCCTGTCGAATTCCCTGTAGTGTTTCATGGAGTTCGCACTGATAGTACGCAGGAACGAACCACCCTCTCATCAAGGCTCGCAGCTCCTCCCAAGTTGTTACCGGAGCCTGCCCGTTTTGTCGGCGGTAGGGATGGCAAAAATATCCGTAACCATGGATATCCACCCGAATCCGACCTAATCGGGTAGGGTAAAACCCGAACCCGAAGCATTTTTCGTGGGTACGGGTAAAACCCAAACCCGAATATTGCGGGTAATGGGTGGGCATGGTTATCTCACTATCCAACCCGAACATGCCCGATTATACACGTGCATATGTATTTTGTCTAGAAATAATCATTATGTTTCTCTAGAATATTTTATATTCAGCATATAAATATAATATTTTCATGAAGTTATGTTGTTTTCATTAATTTTCGTCATTC